AGCCGCTCTGAGACTCCCTTGGGTAGTGAAGGGCGGGGGGGGGGGTATAAATCCAATCTCCTCTTCTTCATAGGCTTATTGCCTTGAAGACAAAATGGAAGAGAGGAGGGAAGCATGTCTCCTTTAATACCCGGGGAAGAGGGAACGGATGGGAAGAGGGCAGGAGCCCATCCCTTAGCCCCATTCGATAGCTGGCTTGGAGCCAAGGGAGCGCCCCCCCCCCTCCGCAGGCAGAAGGGTCCGTGGGCTCCCCCACCCGTGTCTCTACAGAGGCCACCCGCCTCCCACGGAAGCCCCCAAAAGGCTGCTCTCTCTCGGGAACGGCATTCAAGGGGGCTGTAGCAGAAGGTGGGGGTACAGGTAGGGAATTTTGCCTAAGGCCACCTTGTGAATTCACAGCAGGAGGGATTCGAATTGGGGACGGCCTGATTTTGCAGTCACCTTAACCAACGTTCTCTCTAAGCTGAGTGAGTGTGAGCCAGCTCCGGCACACACATTGTTGCCTCCGCTCAGGAAGGATGGGGCGCCAGAGCAAACTAATCTGTGCAGTAGCCGAATCGCTCGCTCGCGACTTTCATGCCGGCAGCTCACCAAGTAGAATGCTGGCTCACAGGACTCCGCAGCTTAGAGGGAGCATCGGTCTTAACATCTGTGCATCACCCAGTTTTAAAAAGCCTGCATTTCCTTCTCTCTCTGGAAAACTGGACCGGGGCTGGTGAGGGTGTCCGACTAGGATCTCAGGAGGTTGCATTCAAGTTTCCGCTCTCTGCCAAAAAGCTATTGATTTACTTACTTCACTTTCACCGCCTCCCTCCCCAACGGGGACCCCGAACAGCTCCCATCATTCTCCTCTCCTCCGTTTCATCCCCACCACAACAACCCCGTGAGGGAGGTGAGGCTGAGAGGGTGTGACTGGCCCCCCAAGGTCACCCAGCAGGCTTCCACGGCATGAGTGGGGATTCGAACCTGGATCTTCCAAATACTAGCCGGACACTCTTAACCACCACACTGCACGGGGCTTCCAGTGGCTTTATTGGCTACTGCACATCAAAATCCTAATATTTAAGGGGGAGGGGAGGAGCCATGGTAGTACAGGGGTTAAGAGCGTGGGCCTAGGACCTGGGAGCACCAAGTTCAAATCCCCACTCTGCCAAGGAGGCTGGGGCCCGTCGCACCCTCTCTGCCTAACCTACTGCGCAAGGTTCTCGTGAGGATAAAATCAGAGATGCCAGTTAAAACCACAGAGTTTTGGACCGATGCCAGACTGTCCCCTTCCCGTGATGATGTCACTTCCTGGGTCGTGCCGGAAGTGATGTCAGTCACATGCTCCCCATAAGTCCCCGCCTCCTCGACCTTCAACCCTCGATGAAACGGAGGGGGGGGGGATGTCAGCCGCTTTGGGTCCCCCTTAGGGAAGAAAGGTGGGGTACAAAGGCATTAAAGAGATGCCGTAAAATTGAGATACCAGGAAGTAGTTCAGTTGCCAGCGGTGCGCAGCCCTGTGAGGAGGAACACCCGCCTCACTGGTGGGAATGAAGGCGCATAGGAAAAGCCGCCGCTCCAAGACACGTTTTGGACCAAGTGCAAGAAGGAGAGAGAGACACACCGGAGGTCAGGATTCCCAGCTCCGCTTCGCACGTTACGCCCCTCCACTCGCTGGGTCACGCAGGAGCGCCGCTCGGGCCCACCTCTACATTTTCAAGAGGCCCCAGGGAGAAGCTCTGCAGGGAGCCAATATGGGGAGATGGTGGGCGGGGACTGTCGAGACGCCCACCCCCTTTACTTCGGGCCTCCTGCCCAGTTTGCATCAATGGGGAGGTTATGGCTGCAAAACCGTAAAAAGCCCAGTAGCACCTTTAAGGCGGACAAATCTTATTGTCGCATAAGCTTTTGAGAAACGCAGCTCTCTTCGTCACATGCATGGAGGGTAGTTTCTTCATACCCTCCATGCATGTGACCGAAGAGAGCTTATGCTACAATAAAGTTTGTAGAGAAGAGATTGGATTCATACCCCGCCCTTCACTCCGGAGTCTCAAGAGCGGCTTACAAACTCCTTTCCCTTCCCCTCCCCACAACAGACACCCTGCGAGGTAGGTGGGGCTGAGAGAGCTCTTGACAGAAATGGCTCTTTTTCAATAACAACTCTTATCAGAACTACGGCTTGCCCAAGGTCATCCAGCCAGGTACAAGTGGAGGAGTGGGGAATCAAACCCGCTTCTCCCAGATTAGAGTCCGCGCACTTAACCAGAAGAAGAAGAGGAGATTGGATTTATACCCCACCCTTCACTCGGAGTCTCAGAGCGGCTTACAAACTCCTTTCCCTTCCCCTCCCCACAACAGACACCCTGTGAGGTAGGCGGGGCTGAGAGAGCTCTTGAGAGAAACTGCTCCTGAAAGAGCTGTTCTCTCAAGAGCAGTCCTTGAAAGAGCTCTCTCAGCCCCACCTCCCTCACAGGGTGTCCGTTGTGGGGAGGAGAAGGGGAAGGAGTTTGTAAGCTGCTCTGAGACTCCGAGTGAAGGGCGGGGGGGATTAATGCTTATTGCCTTGAAGATAAAATGGAAGAAAGGAGGGCAGCGTGTCTCCTTTAATACCCGGGGCGCTCCTGGACTTTTGTATTTTTCTTCTACCACGACTAGGACTACTTATCATCTTTGCACTTTGCGTTCATTGTCTTTGAAAAGTATGCAGACGGAAAGTGATTTCAGCTAAGCATACCTTTGTTGAGGACTGAGCCTGGCCAGCCCGGGCAAGTCAGGCTGAATACATTACACTTTTATGCGCCTTCCCAGGAGGGAATCCGAGGGTGTTAATCTGTTGCAGCAAAACCGACCAGAAACCCCGGGAAAGACACCCATTTAAGCTCGTGCGGGAATAAACGCGGTTCGTCTTTCGCAAATGCCGCCGGGCGGCCGCTTGGCTCTTGCATGAGCCGCGAGAGGAACATCCCCGGCCGTCGCCATCAAGGCTTCAGAAGCGACCGCGAAATCCGGGCTGTCGACAAAAGAACCGCTCCTCTTGATACCTCCCCCTCTTCCGCACGCCTCAAAAGGGCCGCCGGGCAACAGACCTCCCGCCCGACTCAAAGATGTCCGTTACAGCCCCCTTCGCCCGCCCCTCTGATCCAGTAGGGCGCGGCCTGCCTAGGTCACATGACCCGCGGCAACCAATCGCAACTTGGCTTTCCCAGTTGTATTCGCGAGAGCCGCGAAACGCGATTGGCCGCCTCGGTGCAAAGCCCGGCGCGCCTGAATGCAAAGAAGCGGAAGGGGCTCCGCGCTGGGAAGGCGGGAGAGGGGAACGGTCCCCGGCAGCTGGGATGGGATGGCGCTTTGGAGACCGGAGACCACCAGAGTTCAGTCTCAGGGCTCCTTTTAGGCGCCCCCCCTCTCTCCCCACCGAGCCTACCTCGCAGGGTTGTTGTGAGGAGGATAAGGGGGAGAAGCGAGCATGCGTGTCGCCTGGAGTTCCTCTCGGGAGGACGGAAGAGGACAACAGTGTGATGAGAGCCAGCAGCCCCGCTGCATTCAGTAGGGAGCCCCTCCCTGGTCACTGCAGATCAGGTTGCATGGGGGGGTGAAATGCGTTGCCAACCTCCAGGTGGGGCCTGGAACTCTCCTGGAGTTACCACTGATCTCCAGGCAACAGGGGTCACTTGCGCTCTTACACCCCACGGAGTGAGATTCCCCCCTCCCCCACATCTCCAGGAATCTCCCGCCCCAGAGCTGGCAACCGTACGTTGGACGCTTACTCCAGAGTACACACAAACCCCAGCCTGCACGGGAAATACTCGCCTGCGCCGCCTCCTCTCTCCATGTTTCCCGCCGCAGCCTCGAGGCTTCCTCGGACCGCCGGGGTCACAGTCCGAACACCGGGGCGTTGTTAGCGGCTTTGCCTTCGCCCTTCTGCAGCGGTCTTAAATACTACGTTGCCCAGCATGCCTCGGGCCCACCGTGGCCGGGCAGCGGTGCATGCTGGGACCTGTAGTCCCCGTGACTGATCTCATTTCCGGGTGGACCTGGAAAGGTCAGAGGGAGAGATCTGTTGCAAGCCAGGCAGCGAGGTAATCCAGTGGGATCCCGCAGAGAACAGTCGGGGAGGGAAATATAAGTTTTGTTTTGTTTTTTAAGGGGGAGGGGGAGGTTTTACTGGTGAAAGCCTTTGGTATGGTGGAGGTGAAAGGACAGAGGACTTGTTCCTTTAAACGCACGGAAGCAATGGAGTCGCCATAAACACTCCATGCTTCACTTTGCAGAAATGTTGGCGGGGGAGCAGGAGGAAACAGGCAAATACGTATAAATATATATAATTGCAATGGGAAATATTCTACCCACCTAACCCCGGAGGTCCTTGTTTGTGATACCTCCCCAGTGTAATAGATCCAAAGAGTGTCTTCTCAGTAAAGCATTTTTAAAGGGGTAGTCAGATCCCCCAGGCCACCAGCAGGGGAAGGGGGGGTAGGGTTGCCAGCTCCAGGTTGGGAAACTCCTGGAGATTTGGGGGTGGAGCCTGGGGAGGACACGGGGACCTCAGTGGGGTATGACACCATAGTTAGAATCCACCTCCCAAAGCATCTATTTTCTCCCGGGGAACTTATCTCTGCAGTCTGGAGACGAGCTGTAGCTCTGAGGGATCTCCAGGCCCCACCTGGAGGCTGGCATCCCTATTTTTAAAGGATTCGTAGTTGGAAGGGTTCCTCTTTCAAAGGAAGTATTTAAAGGGGTGGAGGGCGATGGAGGCCAGGGTTTCTGATGTTTCCCACTCTCATGTCATTCTGTCACCAGTTTGGTGTCGTGGGTCAAGTGCGCAGACTCTAATCTGGGAGAACCGGGTTTGATTCACCACTCCTCCTCCACTTGCACCTGGCTGGATGACCTTGGGCAAGCCGTAGTTCTCTCTGAGCTGTCCTTGAAAAAGAGCCGTTTCTGTCAAGAGCTCTCTCAGCCCCACCTACCTCACAGGGGATGTCTGTCGTGGGGAGGGGAAGGGAAAGGAGTTTGTCAGCCACTCAGAGGGAAGTGCAGGGTACAAATCCAATCTCTTCTTCTTCTCTCTTCTTCATCAGTTTGCCCCCAAAGTTCTACGGCCTCTTAGGCTTCCAGCTAGTTTCCTTGCGGCAGGCGGGGATCCTCTGAGGTCCTAGGGCGGGGCAGCAGTGAGGAAGGGTTTGTGACGGAGCGCCTGCCTCTTCTCCTGATTCTGTTGTGTCCCTAATGCTCCCTGGGGGTGATCGTCCTGGGCCTGGGCTTCCCCACTGAAGGTGGCCAGGGGTGGAGAGGTGCTTAGATTCCAACCCTTTCCCACACAAATTCCCTGCAAGGCACAGCACAGGTATGTTGGGGAAGGGGATGGTCCTGCCCCCTGGTCCGGACAGCTAGGCCCCGCCTTCTTCTTCTTTTCCTCTTGAGCACTTGATTGTGTGAGCCCCCCGCCCCCTGTGCATCCAAAGCGCTTTGGCCCAATGCTCCCTCTAAGCTGCGGAGTCTTGTGAGCAAAAATTCCACTTTGTGAGCCACTGGCATGAAAGTTGTGAGCGGGCGACTTGGCTGCTGCATAAATCAGTTTGCTCTGGAGTCATCCTTCCTGAGCGAAGGCAAAAAGGTGTGAGCTGGAGGCTAAAAAAACTGAGCTAGCTCACACTAAGTCAGCTTAGAGGGAACACTGCTTTGGCCCCAACCCAAATGTGATTTCTTAGTCCGAACTTGGCCTGGCAGGGCTGTTAAAGATTAACAGATTTCTGCGCTTTGCTAGAGTGCGTTGAACTTTTCAAACCTAAAAATGTTTGCAATGTTTTGGGGGGTTGTACAGACCCGACAGAGCTGCGGTGGCTCAAGTAGTTAAAACGCTGAACTGCAGGCTGTGGAAGGTCAGTAGTTCAGCAGTTCGAGACCCGGGTGCCGCATGATGGAGTGAGCTCCCATCTCTAGTTCCAGCTCCTGCCAACCTAGCAGTTCGAAAGCAAGAACTTGCAAGTAGATAAATAGGTACCGCTTCGGTGGGAAGGTAACAGCGTTCCGTGCGCCTTGGTTTTTAGTCATGCCGGCCACATGACCACGGAAACGTCTTTGGACAGTGCTGGCTCTTTGGCTTTGAAACAGAGATGAGCACTGCAACCCTAGAGTCGGATTCGACTGGCATTCAAGCAAGGGAACCTTTACCTTTACAGACCCGACAGTGAGTGCAAAATGCTATGGCTGTGCAGATCATGGGCTGTCGTTCCACAGAGAGGGGTGTTTATAGTGACAGACAGGGCAATTCCTAGAAGAGTTATGCCCGACTTAGCCAGATTCAGGTGGGTCGCCGTGTTGGTCTGAAACAACAGAACAAAGTTTGAGTCCAGTCGGGCACCTTTAAGACCAACAAAGTTTCATTCTGGGTATAAGCCTCCGTGTGCATGCACACTTCTTCAGATACCAGTTTGCATGCACGCGAAAGTTTATACCCAGAATTAAACTTTGTTGGTCTTAAAGGTTCCCCTGGACTCAGACTTTGCCTGACTAAGCCATTTGACTATAAGAGCATTTTCATTTTGTTTCTTAATCAAGTACAACAAATTCAGAGTCCAGGGGCACCTTTAGGACCAACAAAAGGTTTATTCAAGGTATGAGCTTTCCTGTGCACGCATATTTTATCAAATATTTGATAAAGTATTTGAGAAAGTGTGCCTTGCGCACGAAAGCTCATACCTCGAATAAACCTTGGATGGTCTTAAAGGTGCCTGGCTGGACTCTAAATCTGTTGCACTGCTTCAGACCAACACGGCTGACTCACTGGATCTTTCTTAATCAAGTTTGGTTTTCTCTTTGATACATCTAGTTAGTGAGTATCCGAGTTTGTTTAACTTCAAAAGGGAATTAGATAAGCATCTGGAGCAGAGGTCCATCAGCGGCTATTAGCCACAAGGTATAGATAGGGGCTCTGGGGCAAGTGATGCTCTGTCTTCTTGGTGCTTGGGGGGGTCAACAGTGGGAGGGCTTCTGGAGTTCTGGCCCCACTGCTGGACCTCCTGATGGTACCTGGTGTTTTTTGGCTACTGTGTGACACAGAGTGTTGGTCTGGATGGGCCTTTGGCCTGATCCAACTGTTCTTAACTGTAGCCTAATGAATATGACTTTCTAGTAGACATTTTCCTATGCTTGATTAAATGAGAGGGTTTTCCACAGGAAATGGTACTGGGAGGATTTGTATGTGCATATTTTGACAAGCGACATGGCATTTTGCATGGTTACCATCTCAATGGGAAAAAAAGGCCTAAGACTGAACTGGGCAGTTTTGTAAGTCGTCGTTCTGCAGAGAGGCCCTGGCTCCGTGGTGGAGCCATGTGCTTTGCATGCAGAAGGTCCCCCCGGTTCAATCCCAGGTGTCTCCTGTTAAAAGGATCTGGTGGTAGGACCTGAGACCGTGGAAAGTTGTTGCTGGTCAGAGTAGGCAATGCTGACGATGGCTGAGTTCAGTCCAAGGCATCTTCCAAGTATTCCAGTCTACTTGTTGTGCCATCAGCGAGGAGCAATTCCTGGTCTCGGCATCTACAACCTCCACCCAGAAGTCATAGGCTTTTCCCAGTCTGTGTATTAACTGTGGGTAGGACCCCTTGAGCGCTTCCAGGCCCCTTCCTTGGTGAACCCTACCCTCTCTCGCACTCTCTGCTTGAACAGCTTGAAGTCTGTTCTCTCTTTGCCTTCCATCTGCCCAGACACTGAAGTTAGGACGCCACTATACTACGGTCTCAGCTTTTCCACGTACAGCTCTCAGGGGACCTCGTAGTCGATACAGACTTGTTCAGAATTCTGCAGGAAGGCCTCAATGTCCTCCCCTTCCTTGAACCAGGAGTACTTCCGATGGTCCTCTTTCACCTTGGCATCTGGAAGAAATTGGCCCCTTTTGAGCTTAGCCATCTCAAGCTCATGTGCCAGCCTCATTTTCTCTTGCTCTGGTTCCATCCTAGCTGCGGTCTCTTTCTCCTCTTTCTGCAGCATTGTTCTCTCTAACTCAAGGTCTGCCTGCTTAAGTTGCAGCTGAAGACGTAAGGTCTCTTCACTCAGGGATGCCATTACCCCCTCTGTTTTGTCCTCCAATGACAGGAGGCCAGCAGCCCCCGTTCGGGTCTTGTGTCTAGCAACAGTGATGTCCTCTGGTTTTTCCTTTCCAGATCGGAGGAACATGCGGTACCTAGCTCTAGCCTCACTATCCAGTTGACCCGACAGCTAGAACATAAACAAAACCCCTTTCACCACACCTTAGCAGACCCTTACTTGGTCTTGCAAGCACCTTCAGAAAATGGGGCTTCCTTAAGCCCAAAAGCAAAAACAAAACAAAAAGAACTCAACAATTTTTTTTTCCCTCTGCCAAGGCCAAATGGCACTCAGCCTCACCAGGGTCCAAAATTAGTCTATCCCACCGCTGCAGCCACCATGTCACGGCTCAGGTGGGGTGTCACCTAATGCTGCCACCACTCTGGTTTTAGGATCCCTTGAGAGGGCCCAGAGCACCCGCCCAAGACCTTCAGGCCTCCCTTGTTTGGCTGAATAATAGGCGTGAGGACCAGGCAGAGTAAACCACAAATAAAAGGTTTATTTTTACAGGTAAGGTAAAGGTAAAGGTTTCCCTTGCTCGAAAGCCAGTCAAGTCCGACTCTAGGGTTGTGGTGCTCATCTCCGTTTCCAAGCCGAAGAGCCAGCGCTGTCCGAAGATGTTTCCGTGGCCATGTGGCTGGCATGACTAAACACTAAGGCGCACGGAACGCTGTTACCTTCCCACCGAAGTGGCACCTATTTATCTACTTGCAATTTCTTGCTTTCGAACTGCTAGGTTTTTACAGGAGGTCAGCCCAATATGGTAAACAAACAAGGTGCAAGAACAGTGACGATAAGTGGGTGAAGGGAAAAGCAACCAAATGCCCTTAACGTGGCTAGACTCACGGTCCCTAGTCCACTCAGTGGGGCCTGAGTCTGCTCACCCTTCCTCTCGGGGTGAGGGTCTCTCCCAGCAGCAGCCTTCCCTCTAGAGGGCCCTGCTCTCTTGGAAGAAGAACCAGCTCTTCTTCCGTGCCAGCTCTTTTGTTATAAGTCCCCTTTCTCTGTGATGGGCTAAAATGGGCGCCAGAACCTCTCAGGGGCTTCTGGGAGTTGTAGGCCAGGCCTCCTCCCACTGCTAGTCAGGCTCCCTGGGCCTGCTAGGCCTTTGCCTGCACAGCCCAGATCATGAAAGGATGTTCGGTGCTCTTTAACAGAACGTATTTAAAATTCTCCACTGTCTTTATATAGGTAGGTTGGCAGCACATTATGGGCCTTAAAACCATTTGGAAGAACTACAGACTTCTGATTGTTATGGGAACTGGCCTTGCGCTGGTACACTGGGGTTGGTATAACGTCCAGTCCAGTCCTGTTTTTCAACCCAAGAGAGATGATTTTGTCCCAGAGCCTGGTATCGTGACGTACGTGCTGGAACAAGAGAGACGGGCAAAGGGAAAGTAGCTGTACCCTGCTGCGGAGTCACAGAAAGGTGAGTTCTTCGTGCAGCAAGGACCAGAAGCTTTGGCAATGGAATCGAATCTTGACGTACTTGAGAATTTGCCTCACCCAACCCCCCCGCACACACACACAACTTTGAAAATGATCCCCTTTGACCTTGCATTTTGGGTACCGATGCACATCTATAACAAATGCTGTGCATGGCAGCTGCCCTTTGTTCTATGCCTTGGTGGGAACTGCAAATGCAGCCTTTGCTCATTTTGCGGTTGAGAACAGCAGCGGTTCCTGACCGTGGACTCTAATCTGGAAGGAGCGGGTTTGCTTCCCCACTCCTCCACTTGCAGCTGCTGGATGACCTTGGGCAAGCCATAGTTCTGTCAGAGCTGTTCTCTCAAAAGACATTTCTGGAAAGAGCTCTCTCAGCCCCACCTGCCTCACAGGGTGTCTGTTGTGGGGAGGAGAAGGGAAAAGGAGTTTGTAAGCCGCTCTGAGACTCTGAGTGAAGGGAAGGGTATAAATCCAATCTCCTCCTCCTCCTCCTCTTCTTCTTCCTCCTCCTCTTCTTCTGTAGAAGATCCACCCCATGGGGGGAGTGAAGGGATTTGTACGCCATCGACTGTGTGCTGTATGTTGCATTCTATACTGTTTTATTGCTTCATGATTACTAATTTTATTTATTTATTTATTGTTATGTTTATTATGATGTACACTGCCCTGAGCCCTTTGGGGGAAGGTGGTTTATAAATTCAGTAACCGATAATAATGCACTGGATTAGACTTCGTGCACATTAAAATGAGGCTCATATCTCTTTGTTCCTCACAGTAACATTATTTAAACCTGCCCCTCAGTAAGCTTTATTCTTTATTTATTTATATCCCACGTTTCTCCCAGTGGGGGACCCAAAGTAGCTGACATCAGTCTCCTCCGTTTTATCCTCACAACGACCCTGCGAGGTAGGTTAGGCTGAGAGGGATTGACTGGCCCGAGGTCACCCAGGGAGCTTCCGTGGAGAGCAAGGATTCGAACCTGGGCCTCCCGGATCGTAGTCCGATACTTTAACCACTACACCACGTTGTCTCTCCATTAACATCAACCGCTTTCATCAATCCGTTGAAGGCTTTTAAAATCTGTTTTGTGAGGCTAAAAAAAAAGTGATTTATCAGCATTTTAAAAAAATAAACATGAAATCCTTGCAGGCCTCTGAGCCGATTTGCAGGAGTAGAGATGGAATCTTCCATCCTGGACTTCTATGCAGAATAGACAATAGGTCTGTGATCACACACCAACCCTCCTGCCTCGCTTCCTGAAGCTAAACAGACGCTGCAGAATAAGTATAATAGACAAGGTGGAGTACATAATGACATAAGAGAACATAAGAGAAGCCCATGTTGGATCATCAGGACAATGGCCCATCCAGTCCAACGCTCTGTGTCACACAGTGGCCAGAAATACCAGGTGCCCTCAGGAGGTCCATCAGTGGGGCCAGGACACTAGGAGCCCTCCCACTGTTGACGCCCCCCCAAGCACCAAGAAGACAGAGCATCACTTGCCCCAGACTGAGAGTTCCTATCTATACCTTGTGGCTAATAGCTACTGATGGACCCCTGCTCCATATGCTTATCCAATTCCCTTTTGAAGCCGTCCATGCTTGTAGCAGCCACCAACTCCCGTGGCAGTGAATTCCATGTGTTCATCACTCTTTGGGTGAAGAAGGACTTCCTTTTATCTGTTCTAACCCGACTGCTCAGCAACTTCATGGAGTGCCCACGAGTTCTTGTATTGTGAGAAAGGGAGATAAGTATCTCTTTCTCTACCTGCTCTATCCCATGCATCATCTTGTAGCCCTCGATCATGTCACCCCTCATGCATGGGATAGAGCAGGTAGAGAAAGAGGTACTTTTCTCCCTTTCTCACAATACAAGAACTCCTTGTGGGCACTCCATGAAATTGCTGAGCAGTCAGGTTAGAACATAATGTAAGCATAAGGACATCAACCTCCGTGCCGTGAGTCACCACTCTCATGCAGGTGGGTCACAAATGGAGAAGACGAACAAGGAGAAAGACTTCTGGGAGGCTTATGGCAAAGGTGGGCCATGGAATTTCAGGGCGCTTTCACACACTCTAAAGCCACTCTCAGCGTCCTTTGCAACTGGATTTTACTCTGTGAAATAGCAAAATGCACTCACAAACGGTCGCTGAAGTGGATGCACTCACAAACGTGGATTGAAACTGCATTATTTAGCATGTGTGAAAGCGCCCTGTACAGCCAGGTGCTCAATCGCCCTCTATGTATTTGTAGTGCTAAACAAAGAAAACAGAGTACAAACTGGTTGGGTGTTAACTGATTTTATTTATTGATGCGTGCTGCCTTTATTTATTTACTTACTTTGTGTCTCGAGTCGCGCTGCCTTTCCGCTCAGTGTGGGGTTCCAAACAGGCCTACCTTCTTCTCTCCTCAGGTTTATCCTCACGTAAACAGCCCTGGGAGGTAAGTCAGGCGGAGAGAGTG